ACACACACACACACACACACAAATGCAAACATACCTATGTATGGATATGCAATATTTCAATACGTAAAACTCACATTGGTTATTTATATATACTTTAGAAAAGTAAAGGGTCTTGCATATACGTGACCAAAAAAGAGAAACGGAGCCTAATTATTTTCTATTTATTTCTTTTCTATTGAATCAATGGTTAAGTTTTCCATTTTCCACCTCACTTACATCATTTTTGCTTCCCTGTTTGCCCTGTCTGTGTTAAAATGAAGGATATTCACCTGCTTCATGCTTACTGAAATTAATTAAACTGCAGTCACAGGTTTGCTCCGTTCTTGCGTGAGCAGACGGGACAAAGAAGGCGGTATGCAAAATAACCGACCCCATGGCGATCTCTTTACTTGAAAAGAAAAAGAAAAAGAAAAAAAAACAAGAGCAACAACGACAACAAAACGTGTTGAATGCTTTATATATTTAAATTATTGTTAATTTTATATGCAGCTGCAAAATAGTGTTTTTAAAGAATGTGTATTCTATTTTGTTGCAAATGATTGGTAATGACTATTATAATGATTTTCTGCTTAAGGAAAATATAAATTATGTTTGCAAATAAATGTTTATTGCCATAATCTGTGTCATTTCTTTGTAAGGAGAAGTATAATGATGAATTTAGGCAGACTAGTATTCACTAAGTAATACTTTTGCAATTCCACTTGCATTTGTGTCCACCCACCCATTTCTTTCATATTTATCCATCAGAAGGTCGCAGTAATATAGTGCCATTAGATGGCGCTGTATACCGGCATGAAGACGTAACGAAGAAAAAAAGATACATATTTGTATCCTGTGATTTTGTGGTTTCTTCAGTTTAGAGCTAATATTTTAAGTTTCAAGTATCAACATAATTTATACCAGTAACTACACTATGTTCAGTAGCGAAAATTATAGTCGAAAATCTCTGGGGGAAGAGAAGTTATGAACAGAAATGTCAGTTAGTCGGGGTAGTTTCACATCGTACACGGAATGTGATTGTATTTTCTGTTTTTGTTTCCGAATGTATCGAGGTTATCGACAACACGTTTTTGTCGTTTGGATAATTTTATACATATTGCATAATGCAGTTTAGCTAAGGAGTAAATATTGCAGTTGGCTGAATGTCATATGCCGTACATCAGTTTGTGAAGCTTTCATTGATTTTTTTATACAGTAGTACGACTGATATAAAACGTTACATTTTCAATAGTATTATAGAAATACATTATTTTACCAGGATAATGGTAAATAGGAAGACATCCGTCGTCTGCAGTGTGACGTAGTTTTCGCCAATAACGTGTAGTTGCAGTAAAGAACCGCTAGATGTTGCTAAATGCGCACAATTATCTGCAAACCAGCACGAACCTTATTTTGCCAGTCGTTGCACAAAGGAAACGTCTGAAACCCTTCGAATGCTGTGAAACGCTTCCGTTAGCTGATGGTTGCAATGAGGTCGCCATTGTCTCTAGTGTATTCTAATCTTTCTGAATGCTGTATCTCAGACATGGCCCCTGGACAGGCCTGATAAGGAACTAAGGTGCCGTGTCCTGTCAGCATTTCAGGGGCAGAGCAGCTTTGTGAAAGACACGTCTGCGCCTCTTTTTCCAGAGATGAGGTGAGCTTTCTACTCGGTGGAGATGATGAGCTAGGAAGATGAAAGAAAATAGTGGGTGGCGAGTTGAGAAAAGGATAAATCTCATGTAGCGCTGTTTCCCAGGCTCCCCAATGTGTTGAAGATAGCTCCGCCCCCATCCCCCCTTCCCCCCATATTGGAAGGGCTCTGGCTAATTTTACCCGATGTAGTGGCTGGCACTCGCGAGGGGCTCCAGTTTCAGCCAGCCTCAGCGACAGACGGTTTAAAGCTGGGCAACGAGTTTATACTGGAGCCAGCCAGGGACATGCAATATCTGTTCCCCTTGTCCTGATATAACCTCTGCTTTCTCTTCATCTTTCTATATCTGATCCTGATGGTCTTAGATCCAAGTGAATTCAGAAGAAAGATGCCTTATCCTAGAAAAGCCCTTTCGATCTCGAGAAACCAATCAAAATTAAACTAAAAGAAATTTCAGAACTGCGCTGTCTGTGCAAACAATGTTTTTTTGTTGAACTAGAACCAGATGTGCTCAGGGTGGTAGGTAGCAGAGCCTGTTCTCTGTTGAGATTTCAATGGGAACCCAAACAATGAATCTGTTGGTGTGCTGATGTGTACCGAGCCCTGACTTCATTTGATTCATGGAGACCTATAATGAATGACTTGGGCATCGATGCTTTATACTGTCAATGTTGTGCTGGACTTTCCAAATCCTTAGTTAAGTGGCTACTTATGGATCAGAATGATTTGATTTCCTATGGAAATATTGAATAGCCCTGTGAATTAAACTGTTTTATTCCGAATCCTTCCTAAATAGTGTCGGTCGATAGCTCATATTTAGATAGTAGGTAGCATAATAGTAAAGTATCTGTAACCAAAAAATGTCCGGCTCATGTCTCAGGCAGAGCAGAAACTTCTACGGTTTCATTAAAAAATATTCAGCTCAAAGAAATTGCTTTGATTAAAGGGTCTGCTAGGCAACTATAAATATGGATCATAAGTCACTAAACTTATGATTAAGTCATTATCCTATTCCAATTTGGATTCTGTATAACAAGGAGGTAACCTACCAGGCTGAAATGTTAATATGGAATAAAACGCATCACTGTATTCTATCCAATCAAATTGCATCCAGTTCTTAAACCGAACACAAAGGGCGTCATTTACAGGCTAGCAGAGGAAGCTCTGCCTTTCCCTATGCATAGAGATATGTCTGAATGGTGCGTTTTATTCTAAAATTGTCAGGCAATGGCAGGGAAATTAGGATGTACAGGAGGTGGATCTTCATCTCATTGTATGTATGCATTGAATAATTTAGGACAGCTTGTGTCAGTCTGTTGGCACTCGAGTTAAAAGCACATCTGTATAATACCACAGATCCACTAGGTATCCTGACCTACTGTCACCTCAGGATACTTTGATATCACCGCTTTTCAGAATAATGAATAATGCAAGAAGAATGCAGCCGAGTGTAAGCATGGTTCTCGTTGCTATTTTGTTTTCCTGATGTTCTGATGCTATATGAAGATTAATATTTGTTTTTTGTTGTTGTTGTTGTTTAGTTCCATGTTATTCTTTATAAACACTGCCAGCTGGTTTCTCTTTTTTTGTATATGGTCTCTTAGGCATCTATAACAATCATACCCTGTTGGTATTTGGTAAGGGGAATTGACGTTTGCGGCATTTGACTGAGCCTCATCTGATTGGCTGCCCGTGACGCTGGCCTTGGCCAAGCCAATCTCCTGCTTGAGATAAGGGGAGCATTAGGGGCCCTAATCTGAGCTCTGCATGGAGGATCAGCAGCCTTTCATTATATTTATTAATTGTCTTGAATGACGTCCCAATCAGCTTAGCCCCGGCTGTTGGTGATCTGCTTCCCAGGGTCCTTATCTCTGTCTGGACTAGTTGCTGGCCCTGACGAGCTCAGGCCGTGGTTTCTAGCCACACACACTGGTTTTATGCTGAATTTCATCCCCTCTTTCCCCCTGAACCACAACTCATACACTCTCTACAGGACGCCACCAGCAGTTCACCGCCATTTTTGCGTTTAATTTTGGAATCAGCCTGTAAAACTATTGCTGAATCTTTTTTGGGATCGAGCATTAAACCCTGATACCTCTTGACCGTCGCGTGTAAGAGGTGCCGGACGGACCTGCTCGCGCTCTATTCCTGTATTTGTGCCCTAAAGCTTGAAAAATGTGATGATGCAAGGGATTATTCAAAGCCATAAAAGTATTCTGGGAAAAAAACAAAAGAACAGTTCACAGTGAAAATCTATGGTCTAATTAAAAAGTAGCATTTTGTGCATATATTTTGTGCCACGACGGGGTAAAAAAGGTACAAGGCATAACCGTTCAACATGTTGTTTCCCAGTGTTGCATCTGCGGTAAGTATTACCTCCAAGATGTAGCTTAAAAGCACAGCTATGTTTGATGCTCTGATATTAACTGGCTCTTGAAGCACTGGGCTAATGGGAAGTGACTCGCTAATGGAAAAAATTTTCCAGCTCCTGGTTAAGTGACATTTCTTCGTGTAAGCAGACCTTATCAACTCAAGCTGGGGGTGGACATGAGCTGAACGAATATGATGTCACAGGTGATTTGCAAGCTCACCAGGCCTGTGGCGGGTAATCATTGGCTGTCAGAAGGTCATTACATTAACTAACCTACATGTGGATGGACAAATTACCGATCGACATTATCTGATTGTTCTGAAATTCACCGTGAGATGAGAGTCCCTTGATTCCATGGCCGCTGCTGGTCAGAAGTCATGGATGCAAATGCTTGTTAATGCTGACAGATTATGTTGAAGAGTCCTGACATTATGGAGGCTGTATCGTTGCCTGTCTTGGCTCAGCAGGCTAAGTCACTGTGCCTCTGATCAGAAGCCTTGCTGGTGTGAGCCCCAGCCTTGACAGAACAGTCACATGACTGTGGCCCTTTGCAAGGCCCTTGGCCCTCAGCACCAGAGGTGGTGCCTGTTAGCTGACTCTGCTCTGTCACCCCGAGCTATAGAGAGCAATTGCTCGTTTTGTTTTGTTCTGCTGTATTGATCTTAATGCGACCTTTGACCTTTTGGGATGCATGTTGCAATGGTGGTGGACCATTCCGTATGCATTTCTGGACATAAAAGATGGCAGTAATTGTGCGTTGTGTGTACGATAGGGATGACGAGGGAGACTGAAAGGATTCCAGGGAAAGGAAAGGAGCGGAGGTCATATTACTGCGTCTTTCCTGCGGTCGGCAGTAGACGTCCACTTTCGGGAGGCAGGGCGCAGCGAAGCGATGAGATGGCGTTAGCATCGGTGATGCCGTGTCTGTCTGGGCCGCATGTCATTTTGGCAGCGCCCTCATCGATTGCGTCTGTAACTATCGACGCTATCAGTGGCATCGCTTTCGAGAAGCTGTTTCTCATTACGCATTTGGCAGCCGCCATCTGATTCTCTAAAATGAGAAAATCTAAAATCCTTCTGCTGGCTTTGCATGTGCTGACCTATTTCTGTGTACTCTCTAAACAAGATAGCACTGCATGGACTAATCTGTGTTTATTTGAAAGAAACAAAATCACCAAAGACCATTTTATTTACGCAATTTTTCGTTCCAACTATACAGTTGGTGTCGGTGGCCTGTGGGACAGAGGATTCTCTGTGGCATTAAAGAGCTAATTCAAAGGTTGCTGCATTTATATAGATATTATAATTTGAGAAAACCCGAAAAACCCGCTTTTCCTCATTTGTGCTTTATATTGATGCTGATATCGTCCCGGTAAAATAATCCTTCCACATCTCTTAACTTGCTTGTTAATATGGGTACCTGACGTGTCATAGAAAGCGGGCAGCTTCTTCACTCAGTTGATATTCAGGATTCAAGGATATTTCTGCAGCATCTTGTACAAGCATCTTGTCCAGCTTTCACCGTATAAATAATTGGTATGAAAAGAAGCTATTAAACTGTTGAATTGCTTTTTCTATGAGTTTGTGGAAAATAAGTTGTCAAAAAGAAATACAAAGACAGCAAGAGGCTTATATATGTGAGTCAAATCGAATCAGTCTCATATTACTTTCATATTATTTTGTTTTGCTTTAGTTTGTAATTCTTCGTAGTTTTGTTATAATTCTTGTTAAGTTACCAGTGTGCGAAGTTGCAGGGACTGTTGTGCCTGAAAGTCTTTGAAAAGACAATGATTATTGGAACGAACTGGGAAAGAAGCGAGGGACAAATTTAGCCAAACGAAATGGAAACACTGAGGTCATATTGTCTTTCCACTGAAGATTTCCAGGGAGCAATAAGATCTACGACAACACCTGAGAAAATTAATGGTAACACTTGCATTTAACATTTAGTTTATTTAACTGTTACCTGGTCAATGAAAGTTAGAGTAGCAACAACGTAATTTATTTAATGCCACAGTTGCTAACACAAATAATATTGACGTTACTTAACATACAATAAATAGGTAGAGTCAGGTTCAAAGTGCAAAAACAGCTTTACCTTGATCAAATGAGTTAGAATGTGTATATACATGTTAAAATTCCTCTTTTAATCTTCCTTAATTTTAAAATGTAAATTTTAACCCTTCTGTGGGATTTCAGGCAGCCATACTGAAGCCTGCGGAGGAGAATTCTAACGTAAGAGGCATCAACAGGTACCAGTCTCCATTTCCACCTACAGTCCCGATAAAACAGTAAATCATTTTGATCGCAGAGGGTGCTGAAGCAGAGACTCTGGCTGATAAGATAAACAGTCTTATTACTTGGTGCCCAGTACATTTTGGTAACTCCTGGGTCTTACTGGGTCCAACTTTTAGTACAGATTTTAAGTCACACATGGCCGATCGTGCCAAAAAAATCATTGTTAAATTAAGAATTTGGCATGAAGTTGTTCTCCGGAGTTTTATAATTGCCCGGCTTGGTTTTAATGTGCATTTTTCACTGAACTGTGGGTAATTTCACAATTCGCTCATATCTCGTTTCGGTAAGAAGTTCTATGCCTCAAAAAAACACCCTTGAAAGTTTAGGGCCCAA